TTCCTTCCTTCCTTCCTTCCTTCCTTCCTTCCTTCCTTCCTTCCTTCCCTCCTTTGTTACCAGGGGCCTTAAACATGGATGTACCCTAGTCCTCTCATGATTTCTGAGAGCTTCTCTTGAAGAGTAGTAGTTCATGTGTGTGGAGCTTTGGATTCGGTTAGGACCTAACATTCCATTTGTTATTAGTCTGTAGTATACACTCAATATGTGGTTTTAAAATTACTTTCTTTCACAGTACTGGGATTGAATGGCAGGGCCTTTGTACTAAACGACATCCCCAGCCCTTTAAAAATATTTTTTAATTTGAGAGAGGATCTTTGTAAATCACTAGGTGGCCCAAGCTGCACTATAACTTGCTATCCTCCTGCCTTAGCCTCCCAGGGTACTGGGATCTCAAGTGTGAGCCACCACACCTGGTTTACTCACCATGTTTTGAACCTCGGTTGTGTTCAGAGCCCTATGCTAGGCACTTGGACATAAGATGGCACATTATCCCTTCCTTTTAGAAACTTACCTTAAAGTTAGGCAGACAATATAAACAAGAGATACTTAGCTGTGTGAGTTAGCATAGACTGAATGCCACATGAATGGTACAGACAGTAAATGTAGGAGCTCACAGGACAGAGAGAGAGCTCATATAGCTCTGCCAGTTTAAGGAGCTCTTCCTAATGCAGCTATAATAGACTTGGACCTTGAGAAAAAGGAGAGGAGCTGGATGTGGTTGTGCACACCTGTAATTCCAGCTAGCACCCTAGAGGCTAGGCGAGATGATCAAAAGTTTGAGTGCAGCCTGGGCAACTGAACAAAATTCTGACTCAAAAATAAAAACCACAGCCTGGGGGATATAGCTCAGTGTGAGCTCTGGAGATCAACCCCTAGTGCTTAAAAAAAAGAAGAAGAGAGATAGAGTGATGCTGGCAGAGAATAGCGTCGGCAGATCCCTACAGATAGCACAGGTCCTACTTGCAGAGTTTTGGTGTAACCTACTTGTTAAAGAAGCAGTAGAAAGAGTAGAAAACCTATCTGAATATGATGGAACTTTCAAGAATTTTACCTCAAGAAAGTGACCCTTGGAAAGGGATAAATCGAAATATTTGGCGTATTTTGTCAGGGAAGAATAAAAGCAGTTAACATTTACGAAGTATAGGCTGGGTGTGGTAGCACACACCTGCAATACCAGGACTTGGGAGGCTGAGGCAGGAGGATCACTGTGAGTTTGAGGCCTCGCTGGGCTACATAATGAGTTCAAGGCCATCCTGAGCTGCAGTGAGACCCTGTCTCAAAAAAAAAAATTTACAATTGAATATTTGGGACCCTGAAGATACTGTTGATAAGTACTGTTAAGCTTGTATAAAAATGTGTAAATACTGATCTTGATTTCTCTTTCACAGGCCTCATTAAACCCAAAGATTCAAGCGTGGAGCTTGAGTGATGGGTTTGTAGTTGTAGCGGACCAGTCAGTGATACTGCTCGACAGTATTTGTAAATCACTACAGTTGCAGCTTATATTTGGTAAGGCTCACGTAATGAGATACATCAGGAGACAAAGGTATCTTGCCACCGTTTGTAATGTACTGCCATTTATCCGTTATTTTTAGTAATCAAGGTTAGACAAAGTTCAAGAAATCTCTATTTTTTTTTTTTTTTTTTTTTTAATTTTGAGGCAGGATCTCCCTAAATTAGGCTGATCTCAAATTTTTGATTCTCTTGCCTCAACCTCCCAGGGTGCTGGAATTGCAGGCATGTGCCACCACGCCTTTTTTGTGTGTGTTTTGGGGGTTAGGGGGAGTACAAAGATTCAGTGAATACTGTGATAACCCCTTCCCTCACATCTAAGGCAAAACGTATTTGTAAAGTAATAATTTAGTTTACTTGCCTGATTTTTATTAGAACACTGAATATTTGAGTCCATTTGTTTCAAGTTCCTGAGTGTTTTCTTTTTTTTTCTTCTTGGTACTAGGAATCAAACTCGGGACCTTGTGTTTGCCAGGCAGGCTCTTGCGCCGCTGAGCTATACCCCTTGGCCCTTTTTTTTTGTTTTTTGAAACAAGGTCTCACTATGTAGCCCAGGCTGGCCTTGAACTTGTGGCAATTCTCCTGCCCCAGCCTCCTGAGTGCTGGAATTACAGGTGTGCACCACCATGCTTGGTTCCTGAGTCTTTTATTGTCATTTTTTTTCAAGTTTCTGAATCTTGTACATAGTTTCCATATCATTAAAAGATATATAAATACCTTTAGAATATATAGTACTGTAAAAGTCATATGGAATATTGATGAACTCTTCAAGTGAAAGGGCTTGAAGTGTGTGTAGACATGAACTAGAGTGACTTAAGGAACGAATCGGTGACTGCACTGAAGGTGGGTGAAATTGTTAGGAGCTTTTTTTGCTTATTTCTTGAGTAGAAATTTTGTGGAAAAGATGTGTGTTGGAGTATTTGTATAAGAGCTTAGCCCAGAAGGAATCAGAAGGCATGTGTTTGAGAACACAGTCTTGACTCCAGAATAGAGGCAAGAAACGTGTGTTTGTGGAAGACAGTACTAACGTACCCACTCTGATCAGTGGTCAGGATTCACAGTTTTGCCGGGTGTGTGCCACCGTGCCCGGCTAGACCCTCTTAAAATAATAATAATAATTTGAGGTCACTGCTGGTGAGAATCTCTTGTTATTCTCACGTATATATAAAGAGGTCCCAGAACAATGCTGACCATATAATCAGTGTTTGGTAAACATTTGTTGACCTAATCGAAGTCAGCAGTATTCTTTTACACTTTTCAGCATTTTTGAAGTACAAGTTGCCTAAATGGTAGGTTTGTTTTAGTGACAATTTGTATTCTTTTGTATTGAAAATAAACATTTTCAAAGGAAGCGTGTAACTTTGATTTCTAATTTTCAGATACTGAAGTGGATGTAGTTGGCCTGTGTCATGAAGGGAAGTTTCTTTTGGTTGGGGAGAGAAATGGCAACTTGCACCTTATTCATGTAACATCAAAGCAGACATTACTCACTAATGTAAGATCTTGCTATGTTTTAATTTTTGTGTAAATTCTAATAATCTTTTAGATAACTAAAGCTCTTACAAACTGTTACCTTGGGTTTGAAATGAAAGAATAATTTTTTTAACATTAGATTTAAGGCTCAATCTCAGAAATATATGAAGTAAATGTAAAATTAAAAAATTAAGTTCTGAAGGTATTTCAGTATGCATGTCCAAAATGATTTTCCGTTTTAAAATTAAAATTTTTGGAATACAGGCAGAATTATTGCTAATGGTAAATAATAACTCTAGGGGTTTAAAGATTATGTGCTTTCATTGTATTTTTCTAACTTTTTGAAAAGTTAATTTTTTCTAACTTTGTTATTTCAATTTAATTTGCAATTAGGCGTTTGTCGAGAAAACTAATGATGAAAATCAGCCTACTTACCGAAATCTTATTATTGAAAAAGATGGCTTGAAGGAAGGTAAATATTCTTGACTTTTTTGGTTGTATGTCTTCTGATAAATATCTAGCCAAACCCCACATTTATGTTTAATTAAGAGTAGAAATTTCAGGGCTGGGGATTTAGCTCACCGGCAAAGCGCCTGCCTGGCAAGCGCAAGGTCGTGAGTTCGGTTCCTGGTACCGGAGAAAAACCAAAAAA